AAACATCTCAAATATGGAGAAATACCTAGAAGGTTGTTTTTTGTTTATTTTTTTTGTGAACAAGGACCAATCTACCTTTCACTGTTACCAATTACCAGATCCTTCCATGTGCTCATATGTGCTTTGAGTTTAGTTATGTTTGTTTTATTATTTTATTGACTTACTATTAGTAGTGATGTGTGTGCATGTGTATGTGTGTGTAGGCATACATGTGCCACAATGCATATGTGGATGTCCTGAAATAACTTCCAGGAGTTGATTGTCTCCTTCCTCTACCATTGGCTTCCGGTTTTCCAGCATGGGTAGAGTTTTTAGCTACTGGGCTATCTCACTGGGCATTAATTATCTATTAATGTCGGTTATAATCTAGTCCCATGGATCCAAGGCTCTATTCTGACCTCTGTGGGCATTACATGATGTATAGACATATATGTAGACAAAACATTCATACACATGAAATAAGTTTCCAGGGACTAGAGAGACGGCTCAGCAGTTGAGAACACCTGCTGCACTTTCAGAGAATCGGGGCTCAGTTCTTAGGACCTCTTCTGACCTTCCTGAACACCAGGAACACATGAGGTGTACACACATGTGCACAAGAAACACATAATATAAAACGTAAAGGCCTAAATAAAGCACATTATTTATTCATTTATTTTGTGTGCATATAGAGAGAGAGACATGCATGCCAAGGTGCATGGGCAGCTCAGAGGACACTTTGTGGGAATTGGTCCTCTCCTTCTACCATATGGGTACCGGGGACAGAACTCAGGCGGTCAGGCCTGGCAGCCAGCACTTTTGCCCCCTGAGCTATCTTGCCACCTGCTGTCATCACTGATGTTTTGTTTTGTCTGTCTGTCTCTGTGAGACAGGTCTCCCTACACAACCCAGGTGGACCTTGAACTTGCATCGCCTCCCAAGTGCTGGAATGTGAGCTACCGTGTGCAGCTTGAGAGCTGATGTTCATGTGGCCCACAGTTCTGAAGTGAGAAGTGTGTGGTGTGGGCACCTCCTGGGAACTGGTGTCTTATCTTCGTGACCTCATCAAATGCTAACTAACTCTCAGAGGCCCTTCCTCCAAAATATCATTGGCATAGGTATTTGGTGATTAGATTTCCAATACCTGGATGCCTAGGGACCTTTCACACTACCTGCAGACATCATTACACTTTTGTCACTTGGTCCAACCTTAGTCATGGAATAGGCTATCCCTTAACGACTGGTTTTCAAGGCCATAATTTTTCTTTCATTTTCAATTATATGCAGAGCTATCTGTCTTAGTTAGGTTTCTACTACTGTAGGAGAACACCGTGAGCAAAGCAACTCAGGGAGGAAAGGGTTTATTTCGCCTTATAATTCACAGATCACACCCCATCACCAAGGGAAGTCAGGGCAGGAACCAAAGGCAGGAACCTGGAGGCAGGAACCAAAGCAGAGGCCATGGAGGAGTGCTGCTTACTGGCTTGCTCCTCGTGGCTTGCTTAGACTGCTTCTTCTTATACCATTCAGGCAACTGCTCAAAGTTGGTACCACCCACAGTGAGCTGGACTCGCCCATATCAATCCTTAATCAAAGCACTACCCATAAATTTTTCTACAAGCCAATCTTACAGAGCCATTTTCTCAGTTAAGACTCCTTCTTCCCAGACATGTCTAGGTTTGTGCCAAGTGGACGAAAAACCAGCACACTGTCCTAGGCTCGGTAACCATGTTTAAAACATTCTTGACAAGGGTGAATGGGATTGGACGTGGAAGTCCTTATCTCTAATTCCAGCACTTGTTTGCTGGAGGGAGGAGGACCTGGAGTGCATTCACTAAGTAGTCAGGGTTCTTTAGCAGAGCAGAACCGATAGGAAAAAATAAATGTGTAATTGATTAAATCAGTTGACACTGAAATAATACCACCTGAGAGGTTGAGGCTCTGGGAGGTGCCTTGTCCAAGAAGTGGGGTGTGTCAGCAGTTGGGGTGGTTCCACAGTGGCTGTCTCATACTAAAGAGGTACAGAATCCAGTAGTTGCACAGTTCCTGAGGCTGGAAGTCTCAGCAATCCCAATTGAGTTCCAACCCCTGGAGAATTCCCGTAGAGCAGCTGATCCTTCGTCACGTGGATGTGCAGAAATGCTGATGCTAAGGTCTGTGGAGGGCTCAGCTTCAACAACAGGGAAACTTAACTCAGCAAGAGGAAGGCTAAGACAGCCGGGGGCCAAGCGAGCAAAGGTTCTTTGTTCTGCCATACCCTTTTTATCTAGAATACTACCAGAAGGTGCCACCTACATATGGGACGGGTCTTCCCACATCCCTTAAGGCCGTAAGACAATTCCTCAAGTGAGCTCCCTTTTCAAGTTGACATTGAAACCTAATCACACAAAACTCAAAGTCATCCTCATCTATATAGCCAGTTTGATGACAGCCTGGGCTACAGGCAACCATTTAAAATAAAAATCAGTCAATAAAATATGAGTCTGAAGCCAGGTGGTAGTGGTACACATCTCTAATCCCAGCACTTGGGAGACAGAGGTAGATGGATTTCTGTGAGTTCGAGGCCAACCTGGTCTACAGAGTGAGTTCCTGAGTTCCAGGACAGCCTGGGCTGTTACACTGAAAAATCCTGTTTCAAAAAACAAAAACAAACAAAATACACACACACACACACACACACACACACACACACACACACACACGTCTAGTTTAGCTAGCATATATGAAGCCCTACACTTGATCCCCCATACCATATAAGAATCCACTTGTGCCAGGCAGTGTGGCACATGCCTTTAATTTCAGCACTCAGGAAGCAGAGGCAGGCAGATCTCTGTGAGTTCAAGACCAGCCTGGTCTACAAGAGCTAGTTCCAGCACAGGCTTCAAACCTACAGAGAAACCCTGTCTCAAAAGAGAAAGGAAGGAAGGAAGGAAGGAAGGAAGGAAGGAAGGAAGGAAGGAAGGAAGGAAGGAAGGAAGAAATCTACTTTTAGGAACTGGAGAGATAGATCCTTGGTTAAGAGTGCTAATCACCCTTCCAGATGACCCAAGTTCAATTCCCAACAGCCACATGCCAGTCAACTACTGTCTGTAACTCCAAGACCCGACACCTCACACAACCACACAAATAGGCAAAACACCAATGCACATAAAATAAATAATAATAATAATAGAATCCACTTGTAAACTCAGGAGATGGGAGCAGGAAAATGAGGAGCCTGAGGTTATCCTTGCCTACGCAGTGCAATGGAGGCCAGCCTGAGAGCTTGTCTCAAAAGACAAGCAAGAGGAGGAGCTTCTGAGGTCTCACTTCCTTGAAAGGATGTGTTCGAAGTCAAACTGGTTGTTGGAGGACAGAGAGGCATTTTCTTCAGTAGTGTACCCTGGTGAGGTGCTCACACTTCTGTAAACGGCCCTAATGACCTCATGGGGCCACACACACACACACACACACACACACACACGGTATGAAAGCGGAAAGGGGGGTTAATTAAGAAGACAGGAAGGATGAGTGGGAAGAGGAGCGGGGCAGGAAGTGTGATGGAGAGGGAGTGATTACGACCAAACTATAAGTGGATATGCTTGAGTAACGCCATACTGCTTTCCACAGAGGCTACGCTAGTTTATATTCTCAGCAGTAGAGCACAGGGATTTCCTTGTCTCTAAAACCTCGCAAGCCAGGTTAGGCTGGAACTCACCATGTAGACTAAGCTGGCCTCAGACTCATAGAGATCCCTAGCCTCTGCCTCCTCATTGCTGGGATTAAAGGTGTGCCCAATGCCTGCCTTGGATTGGGTTTTGAGGCTGGTAGTGAACATGAGGTCCTCCTGCCTCTGCCTATGAGTTCTGGGATTGCAGGCTTGCACCAGTACACCTGACTTTCTTACTGTTGATGGGTGTTTTTGGTTCGTTTTTGTTTTCATTTTATTGTTTTTGGAGAAAGGATTTCTCTGTAACTTTGGGGCCTGTCCTGGAACTCACTTTGTAGAGCAGGCTGGCCTCAAACTCACAGAGGTCCACCTGTCTCTGCCTCCTGAGTCCTGGGATTAAAGGCATGTGTCACTACCGCGCGGCTACTATTGGTGGATTTTGTTTTGCTTTTCTCCAATGCCCAGTGATGCTAGTCTTTCCATGGTTGCATTGGTCATTGGATCATTTCTCTGAAGTGTCTGTTCAAGTCCTCGGATGAAGTTGTCTGTTTTCTGATGTCGGGCTGTATGTATTCTTACCAGCGGCTCAATGATTTACGGGTATTTTCCTCCTAGTGGATTGCCTTTCCACTCTGTTGATAGTGTCCTTTTGATGTGGGCTCTTTGAGAGCAACAGAACTTTTCTTGGCTCTTAGTGAGCTTAGCCCAGGGACCCAGAGTGCTGGATGATCACGGTCATCAAAGCTGTCCTGAGCCAGTGGCCTCTGGGCTCATTGTCTCAGAAGAATAAGAAACACAGACCAGGAGGGCGTAGCACGAACACACATCTATTAAGAAAAGTGAAAAGGACTCCCAGAGGGAAGAAGGCCCCCCTGTCGCCCCGCCCTGTGGTCTTCCATGGGTCCTGTGCTGGGAACTGAAGGCAGACTGAGGTCAGCTTTATTGAGACCGGTCACTTTCAGTATCTCATGGCCTGGAACTGTGTGGAGTCCACATGTCCTACCCAGCTCTCTGAACCCCACAAGGGAACTTCCCATGTTCCAGATGACCTTTAACCCCTGACCTTTCTGCTTTCACCTTTTGAGTGCTGGCACCACCCTGTCCAGCTTATCAACCTCCTTCTTTTACACGTGGGGACTCCACATGTCTGCACTGTGTTTGAGTTCAGTTGTATTTCATTTGAGATATTTGACCCCTGGAGAGGCAGCTTTGACCAGCTTCCGGGATCCACAACCCATCCTCCCTGACATCATGGTTCCTGGACTTGCATCTGAGAACCTCCCGCCCCAGTGACAAGAAGCTAACATCTGGGTCCGTCAGCATTGCCCCTGGTAGGACAGTCCACATTGGCCCAAGTTTTTCTCCCATCTGCTGATTTTGGTTTGCTCTCTGGGATCATAGGAACCAGAGAATTCTTATTTCCCAGAAAATTCTTTGTTTTTGTAGTGCTGGGAATAAGACCCAGAAATTTGCACATGCTAGGTAAACAGTCTAGCAAGCGATCACCTTGGATCCATTTTGAACCCAAGCATAGCTGCACGCTGGGCACCTGCATGCCAGGTGTGTGAGGCTTATCACAGTCACCCCACAAAGCTCTCTATAAAGAGGCGCTATTGTTGAGTCCTATCTTGTAGGTGAAGCAAATAAGATCTGAAGAGCTTGTAACTTGCCCAGGATCAGACAGTTCAAAGGCCACAGCCCTTAGCAGAACTGCCTCTCTGCTGCTCCCTAGCGCCCGGACCACTCCTCTCCACACCTTCAGTCATCCCCCAAAGGGTGCCCTATCCTGTCCTAAGTGTTCCTCCGAAAATCCCGTGTCCATATTTGGTCATTTCAGGAGAGTGTGCATTGGCTCTTCCAACCTGAGCACTGCATTCTCATGAGTGACACAGGACACTGTAGAGTTGGAGTCGCTGTCTCCAAATAAAACCAAGGGCTCTGTTACGTCACCTGCCACTGAGGGAGCCATTCCCACTCACAGCATCCCTGAGATTTATTTTTAACCAATGAAGAGGAATTTTCCCCCATCCTCTATGGTGTTTACACTGATTCAAAGACATTTGGGTCATCGTGTTTTGTTTCTTTATTTTAAGACAAAGCCTGTAGCCTGTGCCAGCCTTCCGCCGCAGCTCCGGCTGACTTTGAACTCCCGCTTCTCTTGCCGCAGCCACCCTGGTGCTGGAGTCACTGTAGTGTGCCACTGTGGCCAGACGGAGTTCGGATCTTAATCCTGCCTTTGTTTCCCAACTGACATCTATGTGGCACTCACAGTGCGCCAGGCAAGGCTCCAGCCCTTTACCCACATCAGTGCCATTAACTCCACGGTAGCCCAGGAGCCTGCACGTTGCCAGCGATATTCACAAGCGAGAGAACAGACCCAGGGCTGGGGGTCCAGTGCAGTGGTAGAGCGTATACATTCAAGGCCAGAAAGTCAGGGGCCAGAATGTGTTTTTTCAGCCTTGACATGGCGCTGGTGCCACACTTTCTAGCCATCTCCAACCCTTCCTTTTTAACAAAGAGGGGACAGACCAGGGACACGGGGGCAAACAATTTCGAGTCAGGAGGTAACAAAATGGCTTGTTTCATTATGATTGTTTCCCATTGCTTTCTAATTAGGGGATGATATCTCACTTGATGGGAATCAGATTTCTTTTGAAAATAAATCTAGGGCTGGAGATGTAGCCCAATCAGTGGGGTGTTCGCCTAGCAAGTGTGAACACCCGTTCTCCAGTGACGCATAAAAACTGGCTTAGTGTCACATTCCTGCAGATCCAGCACCAGGAAAGTGGAACCAGCTCATTCTCAGCTACCTAGCAAGTTTGAGGCCAGCTTGGGCTCCATGAGACCCTGCCTCAAAAAGTTTTTTTTAAAAAAAGCTAAACAATAAAACTAAGTAAAAAGACGTGATCTCGTGCAAGAAAATGTGTGTGTAGGTAGCATTAGAAATGGTTTTCAGATGACAGAAGCAGTTCTGGTCTTGGGAAAATCTGTGAAGCCTTTAGGAAGTTTGTCCCAACGGATCAGGAATGGCTAGTCTGTGACCAAAAGGCCCAAGCCTGGCTCCACTTAGCTGGTTTCCAGCTCTCTTACAGTGCATGTCCCTCTGTGGTCAGAAGGGGGCGCTCCTGACCACGATTACTCAATACCCACCCTGTTGAAGCTCCTAGACTCAAAGCTTCGGACTGGGGCCAGCACAACTTGCTTTTCCTCACATCTCGTCGGCAAGTGTCACCGTCACGGCTTACTTCAGAGAACAGAAGTATGAAGCTACCACCTGCCCGGAAAGAGAGTAGACCAACGTGAACAGACCAGGGTAGACTAGTCCAGCCCCCTTCAATTTGCCTGTCCTTTCTCACCAACGGCCTGCATGAGGCCTTCCAGCCCCTGTTCCTAGGGACCAGAGAAGGTGAACTTGGTAGCCCCTCTATAAACAGATACTTCACGCCTGTTGGTGAGGGTGCTGTCCCTTCACAAACTGGCCAGTCTTTATTTAGGTTCTGGAGCAAGCTGGGCTGTGGCTAGGCTCTGGCACTGTTCTGTTTTGAAAGGACAGAAGAGCAAGCAGCTGGAAAGGGGAGGGAGGCAGGGGGAGAGCCACAGCTGAAAGCCTCATGATGCTTAAGGCTTCAATCCTCAGGAGACCGCTGGAGGAGCATTTGAAGGGATTGAATTCAGGTTGTCCAGCCAAGAGGCAAGCACCTTTACCCGACGAGCTCATTGTAAGCATCCTCATCGATTCCTCCTCAGAGGCCTCCTCAGAGAACTCTGTCAAACAAATCTCTATTAGCTGCTTTTTCTTGGTCTCATTCGAAGCTGTTGGAGGTTTGGGGTGTACTATGAAGAAAACAGTCAGAGGGCATCTCCACAGCAGGGGCTGGAGAAGGGGAAATAGATTATCAACAAGTAACTGAACACCCGGGCCGTGTCAAGTTGACATGCTAAGAAGACATAATGACAGAGAATAAAGGTTGGGGAAGGCGCAGAACTCAGACAAAGCGTGGGAAAGGGACAAGTCCAAGGCTGAAGATCCACTCCCTCTCCAGGGCATGAAAGGAGATGTGCAAAGGTCTTGAGATGCAAAGGGAAACAGACGGACGAGAGGCAGGAGGCGGGAGACGTGGGACACAGTAGTAAAGCCCTTGGGACGGGAGTTCTGTGAGCTGCGTGAACGGCACTGTAGGGGCTTAGAGGGGAGAACGCTGGGGTAAGGTGTGTTTGCGCATGTGCGCCCTCGGGTTCGGGGAAAGAGTAGGTGGCGCAGGAGCCAGAGTGGGCAAGGAAGAGCTGTAGAAAGACTTCTGCTGGTTTCCAGAAAACATGGCGATTGTGCCAAAGCTGGCTGCAGTGGAGCGCGGGGGAAAAAGAAAACCACAAAAATTCTAGCTACTGTGGAGGTGGTGTGGACTGGGGTTTTTGATGACGACTCTGGAGGGACGGGGGTGGGGGGATAGGGGGGTTAGTTACGACAGGTTGTGATGAGGATGAGGATGCTAAGAACCTAGGGATGGAGCCGGCCATCCTGTCGCACAAAGCTTCCCGCGTGTTTAATATGATCTTCGTTAATAACTAGATGTGGTTTTCGCTCATATCTTCTGCTAACTTTATTTTTAGAGTACACAGGTGTGGTGTATATGTATGTTTGTGTGAGTTTATTTGTACCGTGTGTGCAGGAGCCATGGAGGCCAAAAGGGTGTCGGAGCCCGTGGAAACGGAGGTACAGAAGGCTCTGTGCTACCGCATGGGTGCGAGGGTCCTCTCCAAAGACAGGAAGCACTCCTAAGCATTAAGCCATGTCTCTAGCCTCCATGTTAACTTTTGTGATGGGGGAGTGGCATTTGTATGAATTCCATTATAATTGAGGATGAATGCAAATGAAGGCCTGGGGACTTCCTCAAAGGTGCCCGCACAATGGCACCAGGGGTAGGAAACCGCACGTGGGAAGTTGGAAATGCAGAACAAAAGGCCTTGGGGTCAGGTTTTTTGTTTTTTTTTTAACCTTGCATTCTGATTGGTACAGTGGCAGAGGACTGTACTTGGATTGCACTGAGGCCTCCGAGGAATTTATGTGACTATAGCGAGTCTCTTAGCGACATTTCCCATATTGGCCACTAGGAGGAGGTATGGAAGGCCAAATAGCGGTGCTGGACAAAGATTTGCAGAACTGATTCCAGCAATGTGGGACAGGGATGGGCCAGAAGAGGGTGTCGGGACGCTGAGCTCTGTTAGGTGGCCACGCTTCTCTGCGCAGCTCCTTTGGCCCCTTTCCTCTGGCTCTCAGCCTCGCCAAGAACATTGGCTGACCCGGGAATGGGGGTGGGAGGGTGGGACCGTGGGTTTACGGAGGATTGCGAAAGCCAAGATCCAAGGTACAGAACTGCAGACTGGCAAGTGACTCAGCAGCCAGCAGCCCCCTGCCTGTCTGTCCTTCCTGAGCAGTGGTTCTCAACCTTCCTAACGCTGCGACCCTTTAATACACTTCCTCATGTTGTAGTGACCCCCCCAACCATAAAATTATTTTCATTGCTACTTAATTGTAAATTTTTGACACTGTTATGATTGTAATGTAAAATATCTGTGTTTTCCAATGGTCTTGGGGGGGTCTTCTGAGTCACTGCCTGGATCACCGCTTTAAGTTTTCCTAACTCCTCACTGGGATGTAAGATCGTCTCCTCATTTCCTCGAAGGAAAGGGCTGCTAGCTCAGCTCCCCCTCTCCAAGGCAAGAGTCACCTGACCACCAGGTGCTGTCATGGCTCTCAGCTTCCTTGTTCTCAGTCATCACTCACTATTTAAAATTCACTTCCTTTTTTAGCTACTTCCTTTACTACCTGTTCCCACCCCACTTTCCCACCAAGATGCAAGCAGGCCAGGCGGAGCATGGAGTGGCTGGACACAGCCCTGAGTTCTCAGCTCCATTTGGACTTGAGATAAGCCACATTCTTCCTTAAACTTTTCATCATATTTTATGTTTATTTGTGGTGTACGTGAGAGTGAGCAGGTGGCCACAGGCCCCTGCTCCTGTGGAGGTCAGAGACAGCCTGTGATGTGGAATATCCTTATAGTTTCTGTGTGATTATTCAGGTCTGGGCAGCAGGGAAACCAAAGAGCAGTCTCCACTCACAAACCTGCAAGGATAGGTTCTTGCCTTCTTCCAGAGACAGGTCTGGGAGTTCATACCTTTACCTGTTGAGCCATCTCACAGGCCCCACCCCCCTTTTTTTTTTAAACTATGAGTATGTCTAATGTATTGTTTGGAATATGCTTATGCTACAAAGTATATGTTGTTTTAGTGAAGTTACAATTTCCCTGGATGTTTTTATTTTCACTGCTAACTGCAATCCTGTAAGGGAAAGCCCTTGCCCACCGTCTTCCTTGTTCAATCTCCAGCCTCCACAATAACGGTGTGGATAAAGCTGAAAGCTTGGATAGGTGAATTCCTTCAGTCCTTCCCTCATTTCCTCAGCCAACCCATTTATTTTAAGCACCATTGGGTCCCTGAAAAACAATGATGAGCAGACAGTCCAGAGGAGGAGGTAGTTACCATCTGATTAGGCTATGGTAAATACGATGCATAACTCTGGGGGTTGTGAAGGGACAGAGGAGGAGTCCCTAAGCCCACCTAGGTCATCAGGCCTTTTATGGAGAAAGATGACCAAGACGAGTGGGACCCCCAGCCCTGTCAGAGAGTAGGGCAGGGCCCTGGGGCTCTGCAGGTGGCTGTGGAGGGAGTGTTATCCAGACACTGGGTGTCACTACCTACCAGCGGACTCCCAGGTGATGCCAGGGTGGCTTTACTGTACTCATCTTACATATGGGGAAACTGAAGACAGGAAGGTGAAGTGCCTGATCTGGGATAGACTGGGAAGTGAAAGTGGAGTTTCAAGCTCACATCTAAGAGACTCAGAAGGGAGCCTGCGCTCTACTAGAAAAAGCTATTGTGCTGAAGACCAGAGCCCCAAAAGGAGGACAAGGATCCTGGCACTCAGTGGGGTAAAAGACTCTTTCTACAAATGTGGTTGGCTCCCAGTGTAGTAGGAGAATGTAAAGAGACAGCAGGAGGTCTTAGCAGGTCCCCAAAGGCAGCTTCTATGCTTCGCATTTCTATCTAGGTTGGTACTTGAGGCCCCTTGTTGAGGCCTGTGGCTGGTTACTCCCATGGGTCCTGGAAAGGCCTTTGGTCTCCATGGTGACCACTTCCCACCATCCCTGAAATCTCATTGTGACCAGTATTAAGGGATTAACTAGTCGGCAGCCCTCCCAGGGTCTTGGGTGCCAGAGAGGCAGCAGGAAGTGGTTCAAGGATGAGGAGGTTGCCCACCATTCGTGACCCCATAGGACTGGGAAGAGGATGTCGGACGGGGGCCAGGGCTTTCCCCAGGACCCACCAGGTATGCTCCTGAGTTCACACCTGTCTAGAAGGAAGCTCAGGGTGGTGGGAGAGAGACGAGGAACTCAGGGAGAAGTCCAGAATTCAGGGTATGTGGGAAACTTTAGCCCTAGCCCAGGAAGATCAAAAGTCCTGATAAGAGATGGGCATTTGATCAAAATAGGGTCCAGAGCCCCTCAACAAGAGACCCTTCAGGGGATACTCCAAGGCTGATCAACCATTTAATCTTCATTTTGCAGTTGGGGAAACTGAAGCCGAAAGAGAGGAAAGTGAGTTGCTCAAAGTCAGTAAAGTAAAACAGGTGTATAATTCAGAGGAGACCTCAAAGTAGCCTAAACAGAACATTGGTCAAAAAAGAAACTAACAAAACGCCCTGTCACATTGCTCCCTCTGTCCCCAGAAGCCTGAAGCTGCCTGTCTCGATAGCCCTGCTTTCACTCTTGAGGCTGGCAGAGAGTTCTAGACAGGCTCCACAGTGCTTGGGCACTTGACCACAAAGCCCTGACCATGACACCCAAAGGATGTCTAGTCTCCGGGTCCCGATTTCAATGGCTTGTTCACCCTTTAACCTCTCTGGGGGATTGGATGTCCTGGCGATCCAGCAATCAGGAAGGAAATGTAAGGCCCAGGGACTCCCCAGGAACTTAGTTGGTGGAGTGCTTGTCTACTGTGAATGAAGCTCTGGGTTCCATCCCCAGCACTGTGTAAACCAGACGGGATGGTGCACACCCGTAATCCCAGTACTCAGGAGGTATAGGCAGGAGGATCAGAAGTTCAAGGTCATTCTCCACTCGATACCAAGTTTAAGGCCAGACTAAGCTACATGTATGAAACTGTGGAAAAATAAAAATCCGAGATTCAGCGCCCCAGGAGACTAAGTGTCCTCGGCCGAGCTTCTCCTCCCCAAGGCTTGCCCGAATGGTGTCAGGTGACGACAGACCACCAGGGAAAGCGAGAAGAGCCCAGTGCAGAGCAGTGCGGGAGGCTGGGTGACAGCGCAGGATCGGGGCAAGCTCCAGGAAGACAAGGAAAAGTAAGAACCCGCCAGGATGGTGCAGAGCCCAGGAGAGGTGGTGAACAGAGTCCAGGGAAGCAAGGCTTCTCAGCAGGGGCCTCCTTATATCTGGATTTTGTGCCATAGCAATGTAGCAAGGACTAAAGTCTAAAAATGTTGACAAATGAGGTAAAGTCGTAAATAAGAATAGTAACGACATGCACCTCCACAACGACAGGTGCGCAGCCAAGGTTGCGGTGCACGTCCTAGGAATCAGCTCCGTGACATTTCATCCTTGACCTGGAAGCCAATATGGTGTTGCCAATAATAACAGCAAAAGTCATTGGTACCTGGAACCGGAGCTGTCTGCAAACTGGAGACAGAGCCAGGTGTGGTGTAAACACCACCCATGAGTCAGCAGTTATCCCTGACCCACCTCACAGGTCGGGAAACTGAGCCTCACCATAGGTTCGACTCATCCATGGTCAGACCTGGACCCACACCAAGGCATTCAAGCTCTCAATGGCCCCACAGAAGCTCTGAATTAGGGCCACCCACCAGACTGCTCTGGGGATTTCCAACACCTAGCACCGTGCATGTGACTCCAGATTTTTGTTTCGGGATAGAGTGTGGCTACATAGCTCAGGCTAGCACCTTCCACTCACCAGGATGTAGCTCAGGTTGGCCCGGAATTTCTGGGCCTCTTACTGTGATTGCAGGTGTGTGATACCTTGCCTGCCTGGCTATCCAACCCCAAGATTTGTCTGTCGGTTTATGACAGGGCTTGGGAGTCTTTATTTCATCTTTCTTTTATTCTTCATGTGGTGCTGGGGATGGAACTCAGGGCCTGTCACATGCTAGACAAGCATGCTACCACTGTGCACAATTCCTTCAAAACCAGGGTGGAAAACCCTTTTACAGTCTCAGGTGAGCCCAGTGGTAGCACATGATTTTTAAACCCAGCACTTGGGAGGCAGGCAGATCTCTGAGTTCGAGGCCAGCCTGGTCTACAGAGCGAGTTCCAAGATAGCCAGGGCTACACAGAGAAATCCTGTCTCGAAACCAGAACAATCTCAGGTGGTTCCATTTTATTATCTGGACTAAAATTCTGCTAGGTTTTCTAAAGTGAGAAACCAGGGCCAAGGAGAAAAATGGCCTTTCCCCGGACCACGGCTAAAAAACAAAGCTGGGACAAGGCAGTCAATGACTTTCATGAAACCTTTCTTCAAAGAAGTGGAAACCCCTCCTGATAAGTCAGGCCCTGGGGCTTGTAACGAGGGCTGGGTTTCCACCCCCTACCCCATCCCCCACCTTAGCCCTCTTGCCTAGAACATTTGTGCAATGAACAGCCTGTACACAGTGATCCTGGCCGGTCTCAAAATTCCCAGATACTTATTTTACCCCGATAACCTGAGATAAATCCCCGGGACTCCCTCCGGACAGAAGTCAGGGGGAATTAAGGGTGACTTCTGAATGGCAGAATCATTCCTCATCCCCCCAAAACCACGACTTGGGCTATCAGAGGCTCCCCATCACCCCTTAGGCCCTACAAAGGTTAAGGTCACCTCACAGAACACAAACAGGACACTGACACCCTCAGCCCACATGTCATAAGCCACCTGGCAGTAGGCAAACAGCCCACAGGAAACGCCACCCACAGGACCCAATCCTGGCCTCTTTCCTGACCATTTCTGACCATCCGCTTCCCAGACCTCCTAAACCTACCCCATCCGCATCTCCCACAGGACACTGCCTTCTGCTCACAGCTGCTTCCCGGTCCTTATCCTGCCGGCCTTCCCTGGGTGCTTACGACATCCGGGAAAGTCTTCTAAGGATGGGGTGGTTTGAGGACTAGGAATACAGGTTCCAGAGTCAGCATGAATTTGAGTCCTACATTTTATTTCCTATCAGCTGTGTGAGCTTGGGCTCACGACTCAACGTCTCTGGGCTGCCTTACAAACCACTGATAAAAACACCCCAGCCCCAGATCCGTGGGAGGATTCATGAATGAAACCCCTTCATACAAATGTCCGCACATTGGCTCTGTGTGTCTTTGACATTATTTCATCCTCATGGGAAAATTAAAATGTAGGCACTTTCTCAATTCAGAAGGAAGAAATGGAAGCTAAAGGGTCTAGACAGTCAGGAATGTGTCTGGGTTCTGAGTCTTTTCTCTAGCGACCTGATGCTTCCAGAGATGAAACAGCCAAAGCTAGGGGCTGCCCTCTACTTCACACACCCGCTGCACACAGCTGCCCTGACTCAGCCTCTGGTAGCTCTCGGAGATCTGTCAGCAGAGGGGAAGCCCCTTGCCCTTGATGTCCTAAAACACATCACTCAGGCCCTAGGAGACCCAGGCTATCAAAAACAGCCTGTTCTTAGAAAGGATGCACCCCCTTCCTTTCTCCGTTTCCCTATCTGCTGGGTCTGGGCCAGGGTTTTCTTGGCTTGAGAATGAACTATTACCATCTCATCTAATGCCGGGTGGTGGTGGCACAGCATTTAATCCCAGCACTTGGGAGGCACAGCCAGATGAATCTCTGTGAGTTCAAGGCCAGTCTGGTCTACAGAGTGTGTTCCAGGACAGCCGGGGCTACACAGAGAAAACTTGTCTCTCAAAAAAAAAAAAAAAAAAAAAAAAAAAAGGATCTCATCTAAGGAGGCACCATCTGGCCCCCTCTGGGCTCCTGGGAACCCTAGGATCCAACTTGAAAGCCTCCCTTTGCATCTCACCTAAGATTTCCTGGCTGGGACATTAGAACCAAAATCTGCTGCTTCACATCCCCCTTCGGGATGCTCCCCGCTGCCTTTATCTCCCTGTGGTAACAGAGCAAATATGCTCAGGCCCTGGAGCAGGGACACATGCACGCTGTTGACTCTTGAGCAAAGCCACCCCTCCGGAGGGTGCAGCAGAGGCTGTTGGAGGTGTGTGGAGAGGCCAGTGGCCTCTTGCATAACCTAGGAGGCCTCCTGACCACCCCAGGCCTTTTCAGGGTTAGGGATGAGGCAAACCGCAAACTCATGCCCAGTTAATTTTTTAAAGCAAGACCAACAGACTCAGCAATGATTAGCAGACGGGTAAGTTCATCTTAATCACATTGAGGACAGAAAGTGAGGAAGAGGCCACTGGAGGCCCGGGGATGGGGCCCAGTTATCAGTTAACCACATAAGTGTAGTTTCCTTTTAAAACCACTGGCCTTCAGCTCCCTCATCATCCTCTTTGATATATTGTGGTCCCTGAGTGAGCCAGGGGCCATCAGTCATTGAGTAGAAGCAACATGCAGTCACCCATGATCTGTGAGTTGAGGCAATGGAGTCCCCTTTATTAAGGCAGAATTCATCAGTCACCTCTAATTAGCCTAAAGCAAGTCCCTTCTCCCCTCTGGGCCTGTGGAGGGGCCCCAGGTCTTTAGCCCAACTTCCAACCTGCAGCAAGGTCTTCAGGGTCTCCATCTGACTTATGGGGTGGCTTACAAGATGGTTTTTCCGGACTGAAGTTCCAGGAAGTCTCAGTGAGACTGAGCCATGGTGGACAGAGCTCAGGAGCTCCAAAAGGAGCAGAAAGGACCCCAAGAGGACACCTACCTGGTTTCAGTTGTTGACACCAACAAGAATCAGATTCCAGCTTCAAACAGAGGTAGTCCTCTCAGATAGGAACAGAGATTCCTTGGTAGTGAGCTGGGGGCTTCAGGATAGCCTAGTAGGTCCCAGCTGCCTAAGGGCTCCTACCCTCAGGTCTTGGGAGCTGCCAAAGGAAACGGCAAAGCCCGGCCAGTTTCAGACCAGGTGGCTGCCTGGACTGGAGTTTGGTCAGCAGTTGGGGACCTATATTGTGAGATAGTTAGGACTTTGTCCACAAACTGGAATTTGAAATTTCAAAGGGGCGAAGCTGAAGGCCCTACCTACCCCAGAGTAGAGATGGCTCTTGGCTTCTTGCCCCCACGACTTTTGTTCTTTGTCTTGATAAGTGCTAGCTTCCCCTGCATTGCGCCCCGGGTGGCAGGTGGGGGAGGAAGGAGAGGAGATAGAGGTAAGGTGAGCTCCGAGAGGAGAAGCCAAGGCGCCAGGTGGCCCCAGGTGGCTGGATGTCTGCAGTGTGCCTCTAGACCTGCATGTGGTCAGAGACAGAGCCGTGGCTACTCAGGTTCACGACAACGCCCCTGCTGTACTGTGATAGGGAAGCCAGCTGGAGCCAGATCCAATCTCCAGAACACTGTAGCTATTCCAGGGCCCCCGGGAGTTGGGGACAACACAGACGGGGAGGCCCTTGAGCCCCATCATCAGCCTTGATCCAAATGGCAGACTCCTCTGCTGTACGAGTCATGGCCCTTGGGCAAATGTATTTTTACTTTATTGAGTCTCGTTTGATCTTATAACGTGAGGACATCCTGGAAATGTGAGAAGAATTGGGTTCTTATCTTGAGGCCAGGGACATGTTCCACAGCCATTTGCTGTCACTGCAGATTGCTCTAGGGGCTAAGGATGCTGCTCAGTCGGAGAGGGCTTAGATAGCATGTGTGAAGAAGGGCTTCGGTCTGAAGCACTGTATGAACCAGTCACGGTAGCACACGCCTGCCACCCCAGCACTCAGAAGACAGAAGCAGGGGGATAGGAAATTAAAGCCATGCTGGGCTACATAGAGGGCCTAGGCTACAAAAGACAGAGTGAGGGAGAAGGATGTGATCCATTATGGCAGGGCCTTTAACCTCTAGTCATATCAGAGATGTGATCTCCCAGCTCAACTCTCTGGATCACCCTCTTTCCTGCTCACTCCCCATCTCCATCCACAAGGTCAAGAGGTTGGCCCTCCAGGCAAGCTTTGAAGCCACCTCTTCCAGAGGCTGCCACTCCTTGAGCTGAGGCCTGGCAGCTCAACAAGAAAGGGCAGAGGTGACAAGCAAGTCCCACACTGAAGATATCCAGGCTGAAAGATGCCCTACCTAGGAGTTCCCCAGAGTAGGGGTTCTGAGTCCCAAAGATTATGTGGCCAGTGGGGCCAGGAGTCCCCAACCATTGATGACAATCACTACTGTTGTACATTGTATCCCTGGGCATCCATGAGGGAGGTTCCAGAATCCTCCTCAGATATCCAAATTCACACGTACTTGATATCAACATCTGATATCAACGACTGTTGGGTTTGCACACAGCCTGTACACAGCCCACTGTATTTTCAGCCGTCTTCAGGCTATGTGTGCTGCCTTGGAGTGCTGCATAACTAGTTTTTAGTGGTTAAGTTAAATTAGTTAAGGGGTAATGACCTGAAAAAAATCTGTACAATGGTCAGGCAAGTGGTGCTTGCCTGTGTTCCAACTCCCAGGAGGCAGAGGCAGGGGGATTGCTTGCATCCAGGAGCTCAAGGCCAGGTTGGGTAACACAGTAAACCCCACATCAAATAAATAAATAACCCCTGTTTGTACATGTTGACATAGGTGTACAGAACTAGTAATAGCAATGGTAATAACAATTTTGGTATATGTGTGTGCATATGTTTGTGATTTATCCAGTTGCACGCACATGTCTGTGTGGGATGTGTGTGTGGATGTGCATGTCTGTACATGTGGAGCTGACAGTGGATGTTTTCTGTCACTTTCCACTTTGTTCCTTGACAAGGTCTCTCACTGAGCCCGGAGCTCACTGATTGACTGGACAGCAAGCCGTGGGAGCCTCCTGTGATCAGAAACACGCAACACCATGCCCGGTTCCCCATGTGGGTGCCAGGGATCTGAACTCAGGTCCTCGTGCTTGTACAAAAGGCACTTTACCCACTGAGCCATCTCCCCAGAACCCTTTGGTTATTTTTAAATAAAAGATATTTAATTTGTGGGGAGAGAGAGAGAGAGAGAGAGGTGAGGTGGGGTAGAGGCAGAGATAGAGAGGTGCAGCGGAGGTGGGTACAATCTCACTGAGGTCAGAGGACTTTGCTTTAGGAGATGGTTCTCTCCTTCTGTGGGCTCCAGGAATCAAATTCAGGCCAGCAGTTTCATGAGGCAAGCACCTGGTAAGCCACCTCTCCAGTCCTTTTGTTACTGCTGCTGTTGACGAGACAAAGCCTCACATATGCCAGGCCAGTCTTAACACCTTGTCTTCTTCGCCTCTACCTTCCAAGTGCTGGGATGGCACACATGTCCATGATGCCTGGCTCTGGCACCCTTTTGCCCCTAGGATTTTCCATCCTAAGTGTCAGTCCCTGAATACAGAACCTGTGTGTCAGGAGGACCGACTTACACCCGGGTCACGTATTGCCCACAGTCACCCACCTGTGGCAAGGATCCACTTCACTTTCCTGATGCTGAAAGCAAAGCAGACGAAAGCACAACCAGAGGCGACGGGTTTTATGCACATGTGCTGGACTCCATGACCTAGAGAAACAAAGAGCAGGGACGGCCGGGTGACTGGCAGCATGACGTCACTTAATCATCACCAGACAACAGCAACAGCAAACTTCACAGACGAGGCCCATTTTACAGAGACGCTAGACTCAAAATAGCTTGTTCCTGAGTCCAGGGCGGTCTGATCGCAGAGCTGGCCTATCTGTGAAGGAGGGCTGCCGGGAGGGTATTACCCGGAATAAACTGAAGGCAGAGGGAATTCTGAATGAGACAGTTACGCAGTTTACGATTGCTGGGTGGGTAGGTTGCTGTGGGTGAGTAGTGACAGGGTGGGACATGGGTGTGAACTGTGTGACACGCCATGTGTGCCATGGTTTGTATACCCAGCAGCTCTTCGCATGCTAGTTCCCTTGTCTTTTGATAGATCTCTGTCTCTACACGATGTGTCCCGGCCAACCCTAGTTGATCATAGCCTGTATTTAATGGACTCTACATTGTCATCTATAAAAAGACCCATTGTTGGCTTGTTAACCCAATAAAATTCTGACTTGCTAACGATTGCATTCCACTTGTAGAAGTGTGGAATTGTCCGGGCGACAAGTCACACGTAGGACAGATATGCTAGAAGCTGTGGAATAGCTGTGGGTGGCCCTGTCACGGGTCTTCCCTTCCCTCCCAGCCCAGCCCTGCTCCCAAGAACTCTGCGACCAGATGTTACCAAGTGGAACTGGAAAGGACCTGAAAATGTCTGAAGTCAACATCAGACCTTTTCAGGATCTCAAGAAGTGGGCTGCAGGTTCCGATCTTTCCTCCCCCTTCAACCAAGAAGTGGAGGACGAGACAAGGACCTCCCTGCACTGTAACGTAAGGGAGAGTTGCCCAGAGAAGAGCTGTGAACTAAGAAACTCCTTGAATAGTGACAGAAAATGCTTCTATTTGTTTCTGATCATGTGAACGTGTACGTGATAGGAACAGGGCGTGCCAGGGATCAAACGCAGAATAACAAGCGTGCAAGGCAAGTGCTCTACCCACTGAGCGATCTTCCGGGCTGACAGGTATAGTTTCTAAACATAGGGCACTCTCCCCGTCCCCCCTCCTAATCTCTCTCTTCCTCACAACTGCCTCCCACACTCTCTTCCACCATCTTGTCTCTAGGGACAAGATGGAAGGGGCCTAACAAAGCCAAGCAGTACAGAAAGAAGGCTTCCAGTGGCTGCCCCACTGTGGTGCCAAGGCACACGTCCTCGCCCGCTCTCTAACTCACACACCCATTCCCTCACTCACTTGCTCATTCCTCTACCCTTTTGCACACTCCTGAATGCCACTCATTCATCCAACTCGGACATTAATTACCTGGTCTCCTAGTCACTCACTATTCTGGCTCACTTACTCATTCCTAAGCAGACTCTGCCTTCTCATTCCTGCCCTGTGTTATTACCGTGCTGTCTGAGTGGCTCTTTCAAGCAGACCCTGAAGCTTTCAAAGCTGCTGCCTTCACTCTCAGCCCTTAGTGTGGGAGTCTGGAAAATGTCAGCAGAGGCAGTGGCAGCGGTGGCTCCCGCCTTTGATCTCAGCATTGGGGAGGCAGAGGCAGGTGGATCTCTGGGAGTTCAAGGCCAGCCTGATCCACAGAGCAAGTTCCAGGACAGTCAGAGTTATTACACAGAGAAACCCTGTCTTGAAAAAAAAGTCAGCAGAGAAGAACACACACAAAGATTGCATAGTTGTTCAAACTCAAAACAAAACAAGTACAAGGGAGCAGGTGCACCGAGCTCCCAGTCAAACCTCAGAAAGGATGTGCTCAATGAGATGAAAACATAAAGAAAAAAGGTTTTAAGGGCTAAAACGTTGGGGGGGGGGATGTAGGACTGAGAGACAGCTCAGCAGTTAAGAGCATTGGCTGCTCTTCTAGAGGACTGGAGTTCAATTCCCAGCACCTACATTGTGGCTCACAACTGTAACTCCAGTTCCTGCGGGGTCCAAACACCCTCTTCTGGCCTCCACGGGCACCAGGCATGCATGCGGTGCACAGACATACATGTTGGCAAAACATTCATACAGATCATCATTTTTTTTTTAATCTAAAAACAGAAATTTAAAGGCTGGAATGAGTGTTGAGACGTGCAGAGACACTCTGAGCATAGAACTCCCTGTGACTGTACAGGGGTACATCCATGAAGCCCACCCCAAAGGGAAGAGATGGACAGAGAGAAACAGGGAGGCAGAAAGGGGACACAAAATGGGAAGAGGAATTAGTTGGGCATGGTGGCACATTCCTTTTAATTCTGGCTCTTGGGAGGTGAGGCAACAGTGCCAAGAATTTGAGCACTGCCTTGGCTACATAGCAGAAAATGATGGGTTGGGGGTGAGGCACCAGTCTGAGTACCTTAGCAGTTATTTCTATGTCTCATGTAATGCCCAAACTATCCTTTCAGATTGACTGTAGATTTGATCAAGAGGGAAACCAAGGCTTGGAAGGAGAACCATTTACCTAGAGTCATAGTTAGCAGAGGGTAGGCGCCTGAGTGTAAGCTTATGTCTGAGGGCCTGCAGATCTTGATTGTGCCTGGCTTGGGAAGGGTGGGGGCTGCGGAAGCATTCAGTATGACAGGGGGCTATCCCAGGCATCTGGTCCAGCTGGAGCATCTGGGAGCTGTCAGGGATCAGGGAAGGGACCCGTAGGTGGGTCCAGGCGGCTCCCGGGGCAGGTGAGAACCCAGAAGGGAGCCCAAAGAGTCTTCTTCAGCAAGGATCCAAAAGGTCCAGGGTGGGTCTGGGGTTCAGATTCCCAGTTCCA